CCGAGGACGAGGTGGCCGGCCCAGCGCGCCACGCGAGGGCCCGCCAGCTGCTCCTGCTGGGCCTGGGCAGCGAGGCCGTGCGGGCGGAGCTGGAGGAGATCACGGGCAGCCCAGAGCACGTCATGGTCTACGCCGACCCGCAGGAGCTGTTCCACCAAATCCCGGAGCTGCAGGGCAAGCTGTGCAGCCGGCCGCGGCCAGGTGAGACCCGGGGGCCTGTGCCCGCAGCAGCCTCGGCCGGACCTAGGGCCGGGGGCCAGTGGCTCCCACTGAACCAGAGCCTGTGTCTAGGGGCTGGAACCGCTTTCAATAACATGGGACCAGTAATAGCACCTCCTGATGGGCTTTTGTGAGGTTTCAGTAAGACAAGCAATGTGCACAGGGTAGGCACGCAGAACATCGCGTGTTGCTATTTATTAATATTCACTTTTTATTGTTGTTAACGTGGAGCCCCGAATCTCTTGAGATGCAGGGCAGCTATCCAGCTTCTTTGATGGGAGCCCACAGTACCTCCAGACTACATACAAGCACGCACATGCGCACGCATGCACAACTGGAAGAGGCATTTCATGGAACGACGCTTGTCCTAGCTACCTGATATGTTCTAGTGTTTCCTGTTGATTTTGTGACCAACCATTGGGTGTGCTCTGGAGCAGCGGTCGCCAACCGGTGGTCCATGAGGTCCGAAAGGTTGGTGACTGCTGCTCTGGAGAACACTGCCCCCGTGGAGTAGACATTCCCATCGGAGGGCAGGGCCTTGACCCGTGGGGAGGTGCAGTAGCTGAAACACATCCTTGGTGACTCACCCCTCCCCACCCCAATTGCTCCCCAGGGGTGGGACATGGGAAGCTGCATACTCAGCTCTCAGCCCCAGATGTCACTCACCAGAGGTGAGCCTTACTTCTTGCAAGGGGGAGGGACAGGGTTGGCCACCCACTCCCACCATGCCCTCCGGTCTAGTCTCCCCACGGCATCCAAAGTGGGTTTTTAAAAGATGGTTTGAGATTTACAGAAGATTTGTGACCGTGGTAGAGTTCTCACGTACTCCACACCCCGAGTCCCTTCTGTAAGGTGTTAACGAGGTGCATTGGTCACAGGTCATGAACCAGTGTTAGGTATGAAAGTCTGTACGTGGTTCAGATTTCCGTAGTTTTAACCCCGTGCTCTTTTCCTGTCCCAAGGATTCTGCCCAGTTACACTCAGTCATCGTCTTCCTATGTTCCTCTTGGCTGTGACCTTGGTTTCTAAGACCTTCCTTGAGTTACAGTGGTTTTTCAAACCTAGTACATCAACGCCTCTTATGCTAAATGTTTCCAGGGGTTTTCCTCTGTGCTGGGGTCCAACCCCAGCAGGTCCAGGGGTTCCCCATAGGTGTGGACGGAGTCGGCGAAGGAGGAATGACACGGAGGCTGCGTTCAGTTGATCATCATGGCCGGGTTCTCTTGTCAGGGTCTCCAGCCAAGTTCTGTCTAGGATCTCCAGCCAGGTTCTGTAGCCATGTTCTCTCGCTAGGTTCTCCAGCCAGGTTCTGTCACCATGTTCTCCAGCCAGGTTCAGTCACCAGGTTCTCGTCAGGTTCTCTTGCCATGTTCTATCCAGGGTCTGTAGCCAGGTTCTGTCTCTAGGTTCTTCAGCCAGGTTCTCTCGCTAGGTTCTGTCTCTAGGTTCTGTAGTGATTAACTACCCACCTGGCACTTAGTTAAGGGGTTTTATCCCCTCCCTAACTTCAGGGGAAAATCCCTACCTGGGGAAACAACCTTTCTCAGAGAGGTAACCTTGGTTAAAACACATAGTGCCAAGAAGGTGAGCAAACATATTAAGAACAGTACGCCATATATGCCAGGTCCCTTAAAACAGCAAGAATGGACCGGCTCCCAGCACCTCTGCATTTGGAATGAAACCCAAACGCCTGCTGGTTCCCGAGAGCTCCCTGTGGTTCGGTCCCTGTGGGCTTCTTTGCAGCTCCTGCATGGGGTGGGGAGCACCTTAGAAATACCCCCACACCTCTAAAGTTCTTAGCTAACTCCTCAGAGAAGACCGGGCCACTTCTCCCAACTTATTAATGTTGCTCCTGCTTTTCCCCTCATGGCTGCCCACATAACTTGTAATTCTATACTGAATTCACGTCTGTCTCCCCATAGTCTGTCAGCCCATTGACAGCAGGCATCGGCCCATTTTACCCACCGGTACAATCAGAACCTTGTATCTGGTGCGTGGCTCATGGAGGGTGCTCGCTGGTGGGATGGATGTGGGTGCGGTGAAGTTGCTGCCACAAAGGGGCCCAGAGCGCAGTGGCTTACGTAGGATAGACGTTTATTTCTCTTGTAACCATTCCGAGGTGAGCAGCCTGAGCCAGCAAGGTGGCTTGGCTGCCTTGCGGTTCTGCCTCCAGGTCCAAGGTCACTGTTTCTCGGCATGAAGTGGGGAAGGGGAAGTGGAAGGCAAGCAGCTTCCTTCTGAGGGTAGGAAGGAAATTGCACAGTGACTTCCAACCACATCCCATCAGATAGAACTTGGACACAGCCACACGGAGCTGCCAGGGATGTGGCCTGGCCAGGCGCTCCTGAGCTGCTGCTATTCCTGGTCTTCCTGCTGGACGCTTCGGCCTCCGTGGGGCCCGAGAATTTCGCCCGGATGCAGAGCTTCGTGAGGAGCTGCGCCCTCCAGTTCGACGTGGACCGCGACGTGACACAGATCGGCCTGGTGGTGTACGGCAGCCAGGTCCAGACAGCCTTCGGGCTGGACACCCACGTCGCCCGCCCCGCCGTGCTGCGGGCCACCAGCCAGGCCCCCTACCTGGGCGGGGCGGGCTCGGCAGGGACCGCCTTGCTGCACATCTACGACAGGGTGATGACTGTCCAGAGCGGCGCCCGGCCTGGCGTCCCCAAGGCGGTGGTGGTGCTCACCGGGGGCCGAGGGGCGGAGGACGCGGCTGTCCCCGCCCAGAAGCTGAGGGACAACGGCGTCTCTGTCTTGGTGGTGGGCGTGGGGCCCGTCCTGAGCGAGGCGCTGCGGAGGCTCGCCGGCCCCCGGGACGCCCTGATCCACGTGGCGGCCTACACGGACCTGAGGTTCCACCGGGACGCGCTCATCGAGTGGCTCTGTGAAGGTGAGTGGGCGCATCGGTGCCGTTCAGCGCTGCCTCCAAGGGGTGGCCCCTCAGCCTGAACCTCCAGGTGCATCTTCTAAGGATCGCGGCTCCCCCCGTCTCTGGGCGCGTCCCACGGGCCAGGTTCTGTGCTAAGTCCGTGCTCAGTCCCGCGGTAGGCACACCATCCTCTCGATGCTCAGGGTACAGAAAGTTTAACACAGATCCCCACCCCAAACTTGAGAGTGTACATGCACCATTTAAACAGAAGACGTCGCTAGATGACCCACAGATCCCTCGAGGTTGGCACTGACCTTGGTTGTGAATGCCAGAGCGAGGGGCCAACACAGCCAGGCCAGCCTGACTCAAAGGCTTCCTTTAGCCGGTGACGTCCTTCCTGCCTTTTAAAAATTTATTGATTGATTTTTAGAGAGAGAGAGAGGGAGGCAGAGGGATAGAGAGATTGCCTCCTACATGCCCCAAACTGAGGATAGAGCCCGCAACCCGGGCATGTGTCCTGCCCAGGAATCGAACCAGTGACCTCTTGGTTCATGGGTTGACGCTTAACCACTGAGCCATCCTGACCAGGCCATCCTTCCCGCCTTTTTAAAAGTATGTGGCTGTTATAAGAATAGTAAGCGGTGCTAGGAGCCTCACACATCCTAGAAAAGGTCTCCCTACGCATGTGGGAGAGCTGGGTGGAGGTGGGTCTCTGACCTAGCCAAGCAGCGTGGAGCACCATCCACGTGCTAACCTGTGGCTTCAAGGCCCACATCGGCGCTAAGGCATGGAAGGCGCTACCCGGGTGGCCTCACGGCAGTTCTGGGCTTCCTCAGAGGAGGGGGTCTTTGGGGCTGACCCAGGCTGGGCCTCCTGGGCACATTCTTTCTTGTAGAAGCCAATCGGCCCGTCAACCTCTGCAAACCCAGCCCGTGCATGCACGAGGGCACCTGCGTCCTGCGGAACGGGAGTTACCTCTGCGCTTGCCGAGACGGCTGGGAGGGTCCCCACTGTGAGAACCGTGAGTGGGTCCTTGCTCCGCGTGGGTGAGCTGGGGGTGGTGGTGCACCCTGGGAGCTCCAGTGAAGGCAGGCTCGAGGGCGTGGGCTCCGTGGAAGGAATCCTAGCACCCTTTGTTCATTCACACAAGCAGCATGTAGCCGGGGTCTCCTGCGTCCCCGGCATCGTTCTGGGGACGATGGGTGCGGGGAAGATGGACAGTGAGAATGTCTGCCCTTGTGGGAGCATCCCTGTGCGGGGGAGACAGGACATAAGCATGGCATCTGGTGTCCCTGCTGGTGCTCAGCACACTGGACCCAAGTCAGGGGACGGGGAGGGAGGCCTCGGCCAGGAGCCCCAGAGTGACTGGCTGACGGGGACGTGGGCCCCGACGCAGGAAGGTGGTGGATGCGGTGGAAGCTGTTGGGGGTTCTTTTGTGAGTGTTTTCTATTTGCTCAGTGAAGTGGGAGGAATCAGCTGAGCGTGAGGACGGGGAGTTGGTGCAGGAGGTTGGCGGAGAGAAGTAACCATCTGAGAGGGGACCAGACTGAGGTCCTAGAGAAGGGCTGCTGGGCAGCACTGCGGGCCCACCTGGGCTCCTGTTATGATTTTAAAGTTAGAACCCTGAGACCAGAAGGTGGCTCCCCTTGGAGCTTGGGGTCTCGGCCACGGGCAGAGGTGGGCTTCCTAAGGCGGGCAGTGCATCTGAAGGGCCCTCAGATAGGACCTTGGGTCTGGCATCTTCTGCTTGTTCTTAACCCACAACCAAGACGTGCGGGGGCCCCTCACGGCTGCTGGTAGGGTGAGGACCGACACTCATGGCCTCACGGCTCGCTTCTTCACAGGGGCCTTGAGAGGAGATGCCCTCGAGGCAGGAGGGCGGCCGCCCAGCCCGTCCCGGCAACTCCGGAGGCCTGGGCACCCCGGACGCTGAAAGGGCGCCTGCCCTCGGAGGAGCATCCTCTTGACGGTCCTCTGAGCGCCTGCCTCCAGCTCTGTCCGGAGCCCGCCTGCTGCTTTCCCCACCCGGGGAGCAGCCATGTCCCAGCTGCAGACAGCGCCGCTCGGGGCTCGGTACCAGCTGATTTCACTCGCTAATGATGGTGGTGGAAACTCTTGACGTGTAAGTAAACATTTCCTTTCTAGTTGTGCCCCGTTGAGCTTGTCGCCGTCCCCTTCCCCCTGAGGAGAAACAGGAACCCGGAGACTTTTGATGGCCCGTGGGCAGCTCACGCGGCCATCGGCAAATGTTGGGACAGTGACGCTCAAGAGGAGGCAGTGGCTAGCGTGGCGTTCGGACCACCGAAGCGATGGCATTTCGAGATGGAGAAAGTGCAGAACTTCTTCTTTCCCGAAAGACGTCCTAGATGCGTTCGTGGTTTTCGTTTGAAAAGGGGCTTGAGCGGCATTTGTGACCTCTGGTGACTCCCTGTGTGTCAGGGGGGAGACGGGGAAAAGGCCCAGATTGGACAGTGACCGATGAACCAGCTTGTTTGGCTCAGGGGCTGAGTGTGCAAACAGCCCTGGTTCTGGGGGGGCCACACTCTCCTTTAGAGTTTACTTGGGGGGTCATTGTGGGGTGTTTACTGAGTGCTTGTCTTACTCTCCTTTTAGTGGGGGTGCAAAGAGCAATGGAATTCTTAAACTCAACAGATAGAGAATAAAGAAACTTAGAACGGTTTTGCCTTTTCCTGTGTAGTTTTAAAAGGATTTCAAGAAATGATGTTGGTTATTCACAGGGGTGTTTGTATGGCTGTGGCACAGATGCGTGCGTTGGGACATTCTCTGGTAAACCAGGCACTTCCTCACCCCGCCTATTGAGGCACCCGTTCTTCCCGTCAGTTGTGGTTGTGTCGTTTTGAGTTCAGTTTCCAGGGGAAACTGTTGCAGAGCCCTCACCTCAATCCAGACACTTTTCTCTTTACTGTCGATAACGCCATGTCCTCTATGCAGAGGTCACGGCTGCCTCCACTTAAACGCCACGGTGCTGTCGATAGTATCGATGGTAGAAAGAAAACGCCCGGGGTGTCGAGGCTATGGCGACAGTGGTGTGTGCTCAAGGGTATTCTCATTCCTGTTGTTACACTGGCCTTGGCAGGAGGGGACATCAGAGCAAGGCCACAAGGCTACCCAGCAGGGGCCGATGTTGGAGAACTTTCAAGAATTTGTTGTCTTGAAAATTCACAGCAGTTTAATCGCTTTAGAGTATGGGTTTTTTTGTCTGGTTCAAGGCTATTTGGATGTCCAATTTGAGTTGCTAGGACTCTAAAAAAAAGCCCCATAAAATCGTGGGTTACATATTAAAGGCTTCGCCGCTTCTAGTTTAGGTCCCAGCAGCAATGGAGGGCATGCCTTTCTTACTGCCTGACCGGCCAAGCCTTTTATGTTCTTGTAAAAATTGAAGCACTGCAGTAAGCCATCCATCTTTCATTTTCTCTGAATGATTCTCGTTCCAGCCAACTTACCCAAGCACATGTGTTCTAGTAGTTCATTGATGCTCTTTGCTTTTCTAGAAAAACGTCGTTTACAAATAATGAGTTTTGTCTCTTCCTTTGGGAGCTTTATATTAATTTTTCTTGTCATTTTGCATTATCTAGAACCTGCAGAAAAATGTTTTTAATAGGTAGTGGCCACAGCACATATCTGCTTCCTTTTCACCATTAGATATTATTTTTTTTGTGGGTAGGAAAGCTTTTATTCCTAGATGACAGAATGTTTTAGGAGTGTTGAGATTTGTGATATGCTTTTCTGCTTCCTTCGAGATGATTTTTTCCCCCCACATATAATCTGTACATACAATAACTTACCTATCAGTGTATTACCAGTGGTTGAACCACTTTGAATCAACGCTGTCTGGTCATTAATGTGCTTAAAGATGACAAAACCAAACCCTGGCAACCTGAGGCGACATTAAAGGCACAAGTGAGCCTGGAGTACACATGCTGACAAGACTTTCTTGATTCACAAGAAAATGCTATGAATATAGCAGTTTGAGGAGTATTTTCCATTGTATACAGTTAGCACAGCTCTGGAACCAAAAATCCAACACATACTGGCAAAAGAAAAACCAAATCTTATTTTTGGACATACATGAAAAAGGTCCTGCCTAAACAAGATTGGCAGATTTTGTTATTTGTAAAAATAAACACATTTATGCTAGGAACTTCCTTAATTTACCACTTAGGCAACTCTCTAAGTACCGGTTTCTTTCCCCGAAGAATGATTTAGGAATGTGTTTAGCTTCCAGAAGTAGTCAGTTCCTGCAGATGTTTCTAGTGTATTTGGCGCGTGGTGAATCATACTATGAAAACCCTTCCCGTTTTCCATCTATGCTCCTTGAGCAAGGAGGCATAACATCACCTGCTAAGATGGCACCTTGTAAAGCCCTCGGTTTTACACACACATTTTGAAGTTCAGTGTGTAAACAAATAACCAAGACATTCCCCCTTGAGGTACAAGTCCAACAGGCCCTGCCAAGTCACTCCATGAAATACAAGAAACCTCCAAAAATACAATTAACATTTTATTTTTTTAGAAAAATCTAACTCACCACTTGGCAAAGGGCCACCAAGTGTTTATGACAAAGGAAATAAATGCCCTGGGGTTAGAAAGAACTTTAGTTCTGAGAACCCCAGAAGTGAGGCGGACATGACGGATGAAATGTTTCAACCTGCGTTAGCAAACAATGCCATCGGAGGAAAAGACGGGGGCCCACCCCAAACTCACCCCTTTTATTTTCTTGGAAGGTGCCCGGACATTAAGCACAATTTTAAAAAACCGGGACCACGAGAGCATTATATTAAATCACTCTTAAGAATGGCCACAGGACGGACTCTGTAAACACAAAGTACTAATCTCTTTTTTTCTACGGTAATGTCAAAAGTCAGTTAAATCTCAAAAGACACTTCACTGTTCTAAATTACAGGATTTCAAACATACTTTTAAAAATATAATACAGCGTCACTTTAAAAAAAAGTCCTTAACTGAGTGGGGACAGTGCCTCCGCGTGGTCCCAAGTCTTTCCTGCTCCGTTACCGCGTCACCGATGGCCTCAGCGCTGGCTGAAGTCACAGCTGTCTCTCTGGTCCTGCTAGTTCCTTCTCTGCAAAGGGCCCGCGCCTCCCATCAGCCGGAGCTCTCCGTGCGCGGTCCCCCGTCCTTGTTTTTCCTGTTAAACAGACTCACCCGCTCACAGAGGCGCTGCTTGAAGGAAGGCCTGGACGAAGCGGGGTTGTCGCCAAAGTCCGTGTGGGCAGGAGAGGCTTGCCGTGACGCTCGTGTCCTAACTGGTCCCTTTCTTCTCCCATTCCTAGGGCGCCATTCAAATACCAGCAGCCCCCAAACAGAGGCAAGTTAGCTGTGCTCTGCGGCCGCCCCCCGCCCCGTGCACAGAGCCCGTTAGGAATAGAGGCAGCCGCCGGGTTTCAAACCCTGTGCATGTGTCACTGTGCGGGGCACCTCTTTGAGGGATGTTTGAGGCTGTGGCACGGTAAGGGGTCTGTGTGTCTGTCACAGCCACAGGGGAGCAGCCGCTCCAATGCGTTCAGTAGTCATGGGTGCAGGTGCCGCGGAGTTTGCCGAATGCGCGGGCAACTCTGGGCACGTCTGCGCTGGACACGAGGGAAGGACTAGCAACACTCGTGTCTGGCCGTCAGGGGAAAGCCCAGGAATGAGCCAACACCCTCCCGAGCCTTGGACACCTGGTGGCTGGAGGCTTTAGGCCAGGGGTCCTCAAACTTTTTAAACAGGGGGCCAGTTCACTGTCCCTCAGACGGTTGGAGGGCCGGACTATAGTTAAAAAAAAAACACTATGAACAAATTCCTATGCATACTGCACATATCTTATTTTGAAGTAAAAAAAACAAAATGGGAACAAATACAATATTTGTATTTGCATGTGGCCCGCGGGCCGTAGTTTGAGGACTGCTGCTTAAGCTGCCACAGCAGGACTCCTTTAGAATCACTGGCTCTTTTGGTTTAAAAACGGTCCACGTCCCGTCTGCCTCGCTAGAATCTATGGCTGATTGGGTGGTTCAAGGACCTGACTGTCCCCGGCTGACTGGTAAGAACCGTGAACCAAGGCCCCTCTGGTAGGTCAGTTCTGGTGCAGCCCCTGGGCCCTGGAGGGGGCCGGGAGTGACCGCTTACCTTGGCTTTCTGGAGGACGGTGCCTTTGCCTGTGACCATGACGGAAAGAGGTCTGTTCTTGAGTGCCGTGGCAGAGTTGACGGGGGTACAATCTGGGGCAGGGGTGGGGGCAGCGGCTTTGGGCTGTGGTGACAAAAGAGTGATGCAAGCAGCTCCTGCCACTCACTCGGGGGCTCACGGTCTCCAGGTGGGAGGTGTCCACGGTGGTGCCCAGCGTCACGGGCCCGGCCTCGGCCTTCTTCAGGTTGTCCTTCACCTCCACGATGCTGAGCTCGAGGTCCACGCGCCTCCTCTCCTCCACCCTGCACTCCTCGTCGATCTCCTTCAGCTGCTGCTCCAGGCTGGCCAGCGCCCCCTTGTCTGGAATGGGAATGAGGCCGGCTGCAGGGAGCAGCGTTCCAGCCAGGACCGGGGCAGGTCCTTTCAAGGGCAGGTTGCTAGGAAACGGGTGAGATGAGGATGATCTGGAAAAGGATCTAGAGCAGTGGTTCTCAACCTGTGGGTCGCGACCCCTTTGGGGGTCGAACGACCCTTTCACAGGGGTCGCCTAAGACCATCAGAAAACACATATATAATGACATATTGTTTTTGTGATTAATCGCTATGCTTTCATTATGTTCAATTTGTAACAATGAAAATATATCCTGCATATCAGATATTTACATGACGATTCAGAACAGTAGCAAAATGACAGTGATGAAGTTGCAACGAAAATAATTTTATGGTTGGGGGTCACCACAACATGAGGAACTGTATTAAAAGGGTCGCAGCATTAGGAAGGTTGAGAACCACTGATCTAGAGGGATGCAGATTTCTCTGCAAGTGTCCTAAGTCTTTGAAGACTGGAAATTAAGAATGATGCAGGATGCGTGTGGTTAATGCAAGAACGATGACATGGGATCTCTGAAAAAGGCAACGCATGGAAAGATGGACCTGGGTGTATATACATTTAAGTGAAAATAAAATGTTTAAGGACGTATTCTTTGAGCAAGCTTTTAAAACTACCTCCTGGGCCTGTTGACAATAGTTCAGGGGGTCTCTCTGTATAGGACAGTGACCTTTCAGATGGGGGGTTAAGATGGGGAACATGTACCTGTGCAAAGACTGGCAGGGCTATAGGCCAGCGGCCCAGGTCCAGGCTCCACGTGCCCTGCCAGGCCCCTCACCTGTGCATTTCGACAGGGTCTCCCTCAGCTCCCGTTTCTCCTTCCGGAGCTGAGCCAGGTGCCCCCGGATTTCTTCCTTCTTCTTCTCCAGCCTCTCCTTCTCCTCCGTGTACCGCTTCACCTCAGCTTCCGTCCTGTTCTTGCCAAGTTTGATCTCTACAAACCCAGAGAGGGAACCCCGAGGTCAGCCAGGCTGGACCAGGAGGGCTCTGGCCAACCCATCACACAGGCTCAGGGGAAACTGAGGCTTGGACAGGAAATCATAGAGCTGGACGCCAGGCCAGCCTTGCAGGGCCGGGAAAGGAAATGGGCACCACCCCTTCTCCACTGCATGGCCCGGGGCAAGTCCCTCCTCCTCGCCGACCCTCTGTGTCCTCATACCCAAGGGGAAGGATGGGGCTAACTCCTCGGAGCCATTTCCAAGACATGCAACGCGTAGCCAGCACAGGTACCTGCAGAGGTCACCCTGAGCCTGTCCTTCGCAGGCGTGCTGGCCCCGGCTGGGGTGACGGCCACTGCGTCGGGGCAGCTCGATGAGAAGGAGAGTTTTTGCTGTTCAGTCTGGATTTTGACCGTCGAGATTCTGGGGGACAGCTCCTCCGGCTCCGGACTCTCCTGCTGCACCTGCTTTTGGAGAAAGCGAGCACAACTCAGCCGGCTGAGGGGCCTGGGAAGGTGGGGCCAGCCCACCAGGTGGGGGACGACGTGTACCTGCAACTCGGGGGTCTCTGCAGATGTAACGACGGGGGGCTCAGGTGGGGCGGGGCCCGGGTCTGCAGGGAGGGCCTCTGCTGGAGGGTCCGGGCAGGGCGGTGTGGGGGAGCAGCCTCGGGCCTGGGTGCCGCCCTGACTGTGCAGGAAGGACTTGACCGGCGTGAGGTCCAGGTACATGCGGTCAGGGTCGAGCTCGCTCGGAGCATCTGTGGCCGGGGCGGCTTCCTCGGGGTCCACCTGCTGTGGAGAGGCAGGTGGCTTTCACCATTGCTTCCGCACCCTGGGCTGGAGAGGCGGCGCCCGCCCTGTCTCAGAGCTCCCGTCCCCTCCCTGTGTGGGGTGTGCGGGGACCTTCCCCCAGGGAAGCCTCTATTGATCTGGAGTTAGAAGGTCAGGGTTCAAGCCCTGGATCAGCCCCTCAAGAGGTGGGAGACCCAGGACATGGTACGAGCTTTCCTGACCTTCATTCCTCAGCTGTAAGAGGAGAGAGTACTGGTACCTGCCTACCAGGTGGCTTGGATTAAATGAGATCAGCCAAAGCAGCCCTTGGCACAGCAGAGCCCAGTGTCTGACCATGGAACCTCCTGCCCATTCGATGATTCACTATCATTCTGGACCCCAAAGGCTGATTGACGGGGACGCGGCTCCCAATCCCAGCAGCACAGCCCATCCTAGCACTGACCAGGGTGGCCAACCTGACGGGTCCCCATGCCAGGCGGACTGCCCGCCCCAGTACAAAAGGCGACCTTGTTGCACCGAGATTTCTGCCCTGGTGGCCCTGCAGGTGACTTGGAATCCACTCCTCCTATGGCCAATGGGATTGAGGTTTGGCAGCAGGAGGACTGGACAGCCCCCTGCGGCCGCCCCCAGCGTCCTTACCGCGGCAGTCAGCTCGGACATCTCCACGTCGTCATACAGCAGCTCCGGGCGATCCTGGCTGGGCAGGCCGTCGATGTAAGTGTTGGGCTCTGAGAACTTCCTCTGCATCAATCTGGAAGACACACGGCAAGACTCGGGGAGGAGGATTCAGGAGGGGGAGGAGGGTGGTAAAAGCCACCAGCCTCAAAGAATTCAAAACAACGAGACTAGCTCCGGTCTCATGTAATACTCGTTCATTCAGGGCAGCCCCTCCCTCTCTTTTGGGCCTTCCCTATAGAACTGTGGGTCCCAAACTTCTCTTCCAGAAAAGCATCCCTTTCCCCTGTCCCCCTTGCTATCCTTTTGCCATCTTCTGACCCCGTTTTAGGGTCTCCAATAACAACAAAACCCCTCCCCATTTCACTGTCAACAACCGGAGACTTTCCCCATTTTGTACATAAGGGGTTCCGTGACCTGGTGGCTCCTCAGCCACCTGGCCCAGGAGCCGGTGTGCTCATCTAGAAAGCGGAAGCACCACCTCCGCCCTGCTCATTCCAGGGGGCGCTGGGGACCCAGAGGGGGGTCCTCGGGAAAGCACCGAGCCAACAGCGAGGGAAGCGGAGGGTCAGGGAACATGCCGACTCGGCTGTAAGGACCTGGATGGTCTTCCCCCAGCCAAGGTGCTGCGGCTGCTGGGTCCGGCCCAGGCCCTGGCCCTCCTGCCGCTGGGTGGAGCGGGGCCCACCCTGAGTTCTCGGCCACCAGAGGCCAATCTGGGCCTGGAGTTGGAAGCGTGACTCCGAGTGCAGGGGCGCAGAAGACCCGCAATACTCACAGCAGGGAGTTCTTGGCCGCACTCACAATACAGGAGACCCTGTCTGCATCCACGTAGTCGTAGGTGAACTCCTCTGGGTCTGTCTTGGAGCCCGACTCGGAGAGCAGGAGGCCGAGCCAGTGGCCCATTTCCTCGGAAGACTTGGCCTGAGGAACCAATTGGGTAACTGAAGAACATCTCGTACTAGAATGTAAGTTCCATGAGCTCAGGGAGCATGTCAGTCTTGGTCACATGTTATCATACTTAGTTGACCAGATAGATGGTCTACAAACTTATCCCTGAGAAGCAACTGAGTTGTGGATCTTTTAGCCACAAGAGGGCAGTATTGAAGCAAAATTTGGATGAAGTCTTCCTGGCTGAAGGACTAGGTCAGTGGTTCTCAACCTTCCTACTGCCGCGCCCCTTTCATACAGTTCCCATGTTGTGGTGACCCCCAACCATAACATTATTTTTGTTGCTACTTCACAACTGTCATTTTGCTACTGTTCTGAATCGTCATGTAAATATCTGATATGCAGGATGTATTTTCTTTGTTACACACTGAATATCATTAAAGCATAGTGATTAATCACAAAAACAGTATGTAATTATATATGTGTTTTCCGATGGTCTTAGGCGACTCCTGTGAAAGGGTCGTTCGACCCCCAAAGGGGTCGCGACCCACACTTTGAGAACCGCTGGGATAGGTGAACAGGAGCGAGCAGGCAGGGTGTGCTTCTGTGTGTGAAGAAAGAACTCTGGCTCCGACCTGCCTAGCTCAACGCCAGGCATTATGTCACCTTTTATTTCTGTCAGTGTGACATCACGTTAGACAGGGTGGAGAGTGGGAGAAAGGCATTGTATCACTAACCTGATGCTTGCCCGCAGATAAGCGCTAACAGGCGTCATGTTTATGGACTGGGCTGCATCTGGTGCTACACAAACTACACTAAACCCACTGTGAATCTCCAGAAGGTTCCCCTGCGGCTCAGGGAGTTAGAAATTCCCCTCCGGCCCTAAGCGCAGGAAGCAGCTCATTGTCCGCTCCTATAACACAACCGCCCTGAGGTCAGAAAGGGAATGGAAATTTTTGAAAAATGCAAACAATCTCACGCAAAGGAAACCAAAACAACCCAGGACTACACGGCGTCTCCATGACTTGCAGCACAGAGCCGACCTCCGCCCTGGCTGCGCCCGCCACCCCTGGGGCCAGCAGTACCTCGAGCTTGGCCAGCTCCTCGCCGTTGTGGAGGATGCGGAAGGAGTACAGGTGGTCCGGGCTCGGGTCCGGGACCACCTCACAGCCCACCAGGCTCAGGGGCTGCTGGGCCACCTTGCTGCGGTTCCGGTCCTGGTAGAAGTGCAGGTGGCTGTCCCTGACGGAGCACCAGCGTGACTTCCACTGGCTGTTCACCAGCACGTTCAGGTAACCTGCAGGAGAGGCGGCGGCTGCAGAGAGCTGGGGGTGGCTGCCCCCACCTCCGGGCCTCCCGGGGTTCCCCTCAGAGTCTCAGCTCCAATGCCCGAGCAGCTTCTTAGCTCACAGAGGCTGGAAATCTCTGTCGTATGTTCTCCTTCCCTCCTGCAGGCTAGCGGCGAGACCCTTTCAACTCAGGCAGCATAGCTCTGCTGGCTTTGGAAAGGGTGTGTCCAGAGGGAAGTGAGATGCACCTTGGACTACACTAGGTCAGTATGTAGGTGTCGGGGACAGAATCCCCCACCCCAGCCCTCGCGGCTCGCCGCGGCTCTACGCGTCCAGCCTGCAGCAGCCCACCTCTGCCTCTCCTCACTCGGGCCACGGGCAGGAAGCTCGCCCCAGGCGGGTCTCCTCATTGCAGGTGCAAGCCCTTTGCCTCTGCAGCCTTAGCTTCCCAGCGGCCCTGCCAGCCTTGCCCGCCCTGGGTCACTCCGTCTCAGCCTGCAGTCCTTCTCATCCTCCCAGATGCACTTGGCCTTGGCCCTCCCTGGGCCCTGCGTGCCCTGTCTGCCTTCTGAACAGCTGGGTCTGGAACAGTGACACTCTCTGCTTCCGTGTCAGCCTCTCCAACGGGACTCACGGAGTCTCCAGGCCAGGAACTTGCACATTCATCTCAGGCAGCCAGGTCTGCGCCCTGCGGCCTCTGCCAGGGAGCCCCTCTTCCGGCAGCACTCAGAGGCTGCCAGGGCCACTCACGAGGCAGCCCTCACTGCTCTCAAGTGGTCCCAAGTGCTCCAGCTTCCCGAGAAGAGGACAAGCCTCCCCCCACTTAGATTAACATGTGGGGAGCTGACACCCCGTGTCAAGCACGGCCTTGTCCCTGGGCTGCACAGATGAGTGACTCCAGTCTGCAGGCCCTTTGCATGCCCCTGTGCAGTGGGTTGACATCCCTCTGTGCCGCCGGCTTACCAATTGGTTCCTTTTTTACCCTAAGAGCTGTTCAGAACCGCAGCCAGATGAACGAGGCTCACGCAGCCAGGTCAAAGTGGACCGCCACCTTCCCACCCACCTGGTGCCAGCCACACAGTGGAGATCATGAATTTCTGAGCCACGTGAACACCACGACACAGTAGCAAAGTGGGAGGATTTGTGCCTAGGACCTAGGACCTCTGGCCCATCACAGTTCCCTGGACCGAAGAGAACTCTGGGTCAGGAGAGGCTCGAGCGCTGAGGCCGAGCCTGGGGAGGAGAGTGTCTGCTCTCTCAGGCCCTTCCCCAGCCACAGGGACAGGAGCAGGCTTTGCCACTGAGCAACTTCGAGCAGTAACCCAGCCACATCTCCCAAAATGACTCACGGGGACCAGGCTCCCATGCCCAACACCGTGCCCTGAGGCCTCGGGTGTCCTGGCAGGAGAAGCGGTAGGCTCCAAAGGTGAGGGTCCTGTGCTGCCTTCCCATTCCACACCGGCCACCCAGCCAGCCTCAGACACAGAGCAGAGTGGGCCTGAGGCTGGGACAGGGGTCCGAGGAGTAAGAGGAAACAGCCCGAAGATGGACAGTGATGGCCTTCAGGTCCCGGGAGACCTATAGCAGTGATGGCGAACCTATGACATGCATGTTGAGGGCTGCCTCGTGAGTGGACCCTGGCAGCCTCTGGGTGCTGCCAGAAGAGGGGCTCCCTGGAGCCCGGGGAGGTGGGGAGGGAGGTGGCATTAGAATGGGTGTCTGGATTTGGTTGATTTTTCTTTGTTAAATAGCATTTAAATATATCAAATAAATATCAAAAATGTAAGTCTTTGTGTTACTATGGTTGCAAAGATCAAAAAATTTCTGTATGTGACACGGCACCAGAGTTAAGTTCGGGTTTTTCAAAATGCTGACACGCCAAGCTCAAAAGGTTCGCCATCACTGACCTATAGCAATGAGCCAGGTGGAGCACCAGGACGCGGCTCACTCAAGATACATTCTGGGAAAGGTCTCTCTCTCCCTCTCCTGACCTCAGTTTCCTCAGGCTGAGAAAGGGCAGCGGAGGTGACCTCTAAGAATCTACTAGCTCCCTAC